TTAGGGTTTAGGGTTTAGGGTTTAGGGTTTAGGGTTTAGGGTTCAGGAGGGTTTAGGGTTCAGGAGGGTTAGGGTTTAGGGTCCTTAAGCTGCCTTAAGCTCCTGGTTCCTCTCTGGGAAGTAGGCACCCTGTAGAATCCCTTAAAGGGTAACAACAGCGGGGATATCTAAGACACTTCATTCCTTAAGTTACACTAGTTATACCCCACCTAGCGGCTCATACTCTACAACCCCCCCCCCCCTTTTGGAACTCTGAATCTAGTAGCCCAACCCTGAACAACGGGCACCCCAAAACACAGGGGTTCGAGTTTCGAGGCCTTAGTGCTCGGGCCCCGAAACCCTAAGCCCTAAACCCGGTTTGGTTTAGATGTAGGCTTTGGAGGTTGGGAGGCCTCAAGGCTTGAAAGCCCCTGTGGGTTCAGGTTTTCGAGGTTGGGTATTTGGGGTCTGGCGTTTTGAGGGGTTCCGGGTTTAGGGTTTAGGGTTCAGGTGAGAGCGTGTATGTGCTTTCAGACTTCGAGGCTCTCCGATTGCGAAACCCTAAACCCTATAAACCCTAAATTTTTCTAAACCCTAAGCCCCATACGCCTCATACACCCCATGAACCCCATGTACCCCATAAACCCCATAAACCCTAAAAAACCCTAGAAACCCCAAAAAAACCTAAAACCCTAGAAACCCTATAAACCCTGTAAACCCTACGGGGGTCTCCGCAGATGACGAGGCTCCGGGGTGCCGAATTCAATCATGCGACTTGGGCATCCTAGTGTTCTACGTGCCCTAGGGGATTGAAGACCCTAAACCCCGAAGGTTTAGGGTTTAGGGTTTATAGGGTTTCGGGTTTGGGGTTTATAGGGATAAAACCCGAAAGCCGAAACCCGGCATCCTCAACCCCAAAGAGCGGCAAAAAGGCCTGAACGCTGAACCCTAAACTCTAATTTATCCCCAAACCCTCAACCCTGAAAGCCCCTCAGTATCTGCACTCCCTATTCAGAGCCCTTTCGCGGCCCCTGGCCTGTACACGTAGTAGCCCAGGGCGAAAACAGAGAAGAAGACGTAGTGGATGGAAACCGCCTTTGGGGCTTCGGAATTATCAGGGAACAACAGCGCACCTTTAAGAAGAGATATAAGGTTCAGGCATAAGGTGTTACATGCTGCATGAGTTTAGGGTCTGGGGTTTCTTCTGTGGTTTCAGGTTCAAGGTTGCGGCTCAAGACGCAGAGCGCGGCTTAGGGACCCATAGCCCATAGCCATCGTAGTCTAGTTGTGTGATAGAACTGCAGCATACGGGGCTTCGGGGTTTAGGGGTTTAGGGGTTAGGGTTTATAAGGTTTAGGGTTGTATCTCTATATACACACGCCACATAAGAAATCGGACCATCTGCACTATACCTATGCCGCAAGGAATGGGCACACTGCCGTTGGGGTCGCGGCGAAAATGCCGGCTGTAGCGCACACGATCATCGAGGCAAACTCCTGTGTCAAGTCCGCTGCGGCTTCTCTGCTAGAAACTCTCACTGTATAAATTTCCAAAACAAATTGAAAACCTCGCGGCCTCAGCCATGCTGTGACGACCCACAGCATGGATGTAAAGATTTGCAAGGAACCACACCTAAACTTGCGTTCCTGCAGTGGAATTTCGGTGTACATCCCTGCCTTGCACAGCTTGCAGATCGAACCGTGATAGACACGCCGGCCCTATTGAATTGTCACGATGCGCTTGTCCGTGCGCAGGCCAGCAAGTGTGAAGTGCAAGGTGTTAAGTGAAGCCTGGACCGCTTTTCCGGTGGGTATCTGAGTCGCGTTCCTGTTCATGGCGACATTGAACCACTCTCATATGAGCCCCGGTCAAAAAGGCCTGTTAAATCGAAGGACATGGGTCTGGGGGCTATGGTTTTCTATGTGTCCCCCCTGTCCTTCTGAGGTAAACAGCTCCTGCGAACGGAAGAAGAAAACATAACGTTGGGGTTATCTTCTGCCGAAAGTTGAGGGTTCAATATCGGTGTGCAGACGAAATAGCTACTCAGTCGCAAGCTGATGCCCAGCATGATCTACGAGAATTGTCTTGTTCACATCAATTCACCACAAGTGGAGAACCCAAAAATGCTGAATCTTGGCCCCCTCCTCTTCACTGGACGTGCTGACTTGAGAACCTTAGGGTATGGTGTTTAGAGCTCAGCTTGGGTTCTAGGATAGCCCTCGCACCCTAAACCCTAGCCCTAAACCCTAAACCCTAAACCCTAAACCCTGAACTCTTTCCTGGTTCTCTGCGTTGGGGTTCTGGAAGCCCACAGCCAGGCAGTCGGCGCGTTGCATTTGTAGCTGGCGCCTCTCTCGACGGAAGCCCTGCCAAGCGGATGTACGCATTGGTTGATAGCATTCAATACTCGTTCTGGGGGTTTCCGAAAATTGGGGTGCCTTCTATTCTATCTGGGGTATAATAAAACGGGGTACCCCTATTTTGGGACAATACCCGATATTATCTAACCCTTCAAGGGATGTAGGGCACCTACTTCCCTGCTAGAAAAACCGGCAAGTGCAGGGCAGGTCGAAGCCCCCTGTGCCCAAAGAAGCATCCTGAAGTGCACCCCTCCTCACCTCAGGAAGCTGGAACTTCATGGCAAACCCTAAACCCTAAACCCTAATCCCCTAAACCCTAAACCCTAAACCCTCAACCCTAAACCCTAAAACCCTAAACCCTAAAACCCTAAACCCTAAACCCTAAACCCGAAACCCTAAACCCTAAACCCATAGCTAAACCCCTGCGAGGTTTAGGTGAGGGTTTCGGGTTACAGGCTTCGCACATATGTCGCGGGCATCTTTGTGCAGGGTTTTTTTTTTTTTAGGGAGCCGGGACCCCGAGGGTTTGTCAGAGGATTTACAGGGCTGTGCAAAGCAGGTGGTGCCGCAAAGCACATGAAGACACAGAAACAGCGAAGTCCAACACCATGAAACACCAAAACTCAAACCCGAACAAAAGCCCTAAGCTCCCAACACCCGAAACCCCACAGCCTATTCAAATCATACAGGCCTCGACCCAGATTTTAAGCTCTTGAACTCCAGCAAGCCTCTACGCCCGAATTCCCTAAGCCTTCTAAACCGGCTAGCCCCCTAGACTGTAAACCCCCTGAAGCCTACCCCTCCCTGAACCCCCCCCCCACCACCTCTCCAAGCCAACCGAAACCAGATTGGAGGGCTTGGGGATTGGTATCCATGTGAGAGTTTAGGGCTTAGTTATGATTACAAGCTGGAGATTTTCGCCGCCTGGCACTAAAACCTTAAGCGTGACATCCTGCTGCAAAGTTCGGCTCTTGAGAATGTCGCCTTGCCTCTTCTAGTGGGACACCATATGCTGCATCACATGCTTGGAGTTAGGGCCTTAGATATAGGATTGCTCTCATCCATTTAGCCTTGTAACCTTGAAGCCATTTGGGTTCTGCTGCCGAGCCCGCTATAGGCAAAGAGTAGGTGCATAGCAGGAATGCATCAGGACCCTGGCGCCTGACTTCTTCCCTAAACGCTAAACCCTAAACCCTAAACCCTAAACCCTGAGCCCTAAACCCTAAACCCTAAACAAAATACACTGGGGTGTACACACTAAAGCTCAGTTGCTGCCTCAACCTCCGAGATGAGTGCGACGACCTGATTGGCCTCCTCCTCCTCGCATTTCGCGGCAGAAGAACAAAGAAAAAGGCAACTGCAATCGGGCATGGGGCTTAGGGCAGTGGCTTAGGGCTTAGGGTATCCTGTCAAGCATAGGGACCAGGTTACTAGAATCCCCTACAAAGTACCTGGACCATACTGCAAGGGCAAGAACCCTCAAAGACCACACGCCCGTTTCAGGTTCGTGTCGTCCGGGATACTTTGGATTTTTTCACATACAGAGATTGTGCGTTGGGGCAGGGGCCTGGAAATCTTAAGCCCAAACAAAAGCCTAAGCCCTTATAAAGCCGTAGCCCAAAACCTGAAACCCCCAAACCCCTCCAATCTGAGCCCCTGAACCCTACCCCTGAGCGGAAGCCTAAACCTCAAACCTCAACGCCTACACCACAAATTATCAAACCTGAACCCCAAAGCGGGGGCTTTGATTCCGAAATTACATGTTCAGGCTGTAAGGGTTTTTCTTTTTTCTTGGGGGGGGGGGGGGGGTAGGTTGAGGGATTTCAAGAAGGCTTCTGGGCTTAGAAGGGTTTAGGGCTTATGAGGGTTAGGGTTCTGTGACCGGCGGTGAACTACCTAGAGAAGAGGGCTAGAGAGGCTTAAGCACTATGTTTTTTATAAACCCTAAACCCTAAACCCTAAACCCTTTTTTATCCTCTCAACAACACCCTGAAAACCTTTGCAACTGCTGCCCGCTGAGGCTGCGGCGCACAGTTGGCCGACCTCCCGACATGGAGTCAAAAAAAGAGGCACTAAACAGCCAGGGAGACAAACCCTAAACCCTAAACCCTAAACCCTAGATACAGGAGCCGAGCATTGTATCCCTTCATGCTTCCCAGGGCGATATATTTCTTTACCTGGAGAACCGTTCCGGGCACCAGATTCCATTTAGGTCGGCCCCTACACACCCTAGCTGCCCTCGATTTTGGTGCTCCGGCGTCACAAGCAGGCAGGCTCCGCGCGGTGGAGAGCCGGGGAAGCTGTCTCCCTGGGCCGCAACTCTCGCGGGGAACCACCTCACCGAGGGACTCTGCTGGGATCGGCTGGGAGATCTCCTGGCCACCCAAGACGGCGCGTGGCAGGAGACGGCCTTGCTGTCGATCCCTCGTCGGTCTCCTCGCTTGCCTTGTCCAGTGTTCCTAGGGTTGATCAGACAGGAATTACAGACTTAAAAAAATACATGTGTATATATATATATATGATATACAGACACACACACGCTATAGTCTTCAAAAAGCTTAAAAGATAAGCGTTGCTTGCTTGGCTCCCCAGTCGCTCCTGGTGATCCCGTGCGCTGTGAGCTCTGCGACAGGGGCATGTCGCTCATTTGGAGCTTCTTGGCTAGGACTTCGGCAGCTCCATGGATTTCCTCGACTCATGGTTTTGGGCTTTTAAGGTTTATAGGGTTTAGGGTGTGGGAGCGGTGTAGGGTTTAAGGTAATTCAGCAGCCTTTGCAAAAAAATGCCGCAACACACAGTCGGGTTTGCTTCAGACATTCAGACAACGAGCGTAACTTATGCATTCTCTGCGTTAGAGTGCCTTCGGGGCAAGGCTCTGTACGGTAATTGCAACTTCAACGGGACTAGATTTGTTGAGAACTGACCACCCATAGATCGTCGTAGATCTCCTTCACAAATGTATACGCTCCCTCTGTATCGTCCCATGAAGGGCTACATTCCTTAATTCCCGATTGCGAACTAGTAAGATTCTTCAGGGGTGCAAATCGCCCTGAACCCTAAACAATACACCCAAAACCCTAACCCTTAACCCTGTTCCTCACAGACGTGCGTGCTGCCATGACACCGACTCCACCCACTGTGGTCTGCGGCCTGCGGCCCCCGACACTTGAAACCCTACGGTTTAGGGTTGAGGGTTTAGGGTTTAGGGTCTAGGGGAGTTTAACATTTAGGGTTTAGGGTTTAGGGTTTAGGAAATCCTATCTCCTAAATATCCTAAACTTCGAAGAACCTTCACATCCCAAACCATCTGCACACCCCAGATCCCGAGCCCCCAAACCCGAAGCCAAAACCCTCCGCCGTAGATCCAGCTAGACCCTACGCCCCCTGAACTCTGAACTCTGAACTCTGAACTCTGAACCCTGCACCCTAAACCCTAAACCCTAAACCCCAAGGCCTAAACCCTAAACCCTAAACCCCAAACCCCAAACCCTAAACCCTAAACCCCTAAACCACTAAACCCCTAAACCCCAAACCATAAACTTCTCTAAGACCCCTTGACACGCCCAGCCTTGGAGGCGATGCGCAGGGCGCTTCGCTGCCGCTGTGAGGGCCGCAGCCGTCGGATCTCCTCGGATTGCCAGCTTGATTCTCCCTAAACCCTAAACCCTAAACCCTAAACCCTAAACCCTAATGTTTGTATGAGGTTGTTGTGAAAGGTGTTGCTTAAGTGCTTCAGGGTTTGGAGGCGTTTTATTCTGTTATTATTGCAAAGAGATGCGTCTGCAGAATATGAATAGGGAACTCGAAATAATTAGACTCAACAAGAACACTTTACAAAAACTCTACCTGCTGTAAAGATGTTCATTAGAGATTGAGGGCATGCATCCTGTCGCGCAGTCTTCAAAACTTGGTAGACCAGTAACCAACGTGTAACCATAATTGTAGTAAGTAGGAAGGGTACCCAGCCAACCATGGCAAAAGGGCACCACTCAGCCACCAAGTCATCACGTTGAGATCCAAGGCTCCGCAAGGGTCATGTGACCAAGCTCCGAGAGGGTGTCGACCAAGTCCCACTCCTGATTGGGAGGGTTTAGTGTTGGGGGTTGTGGCTCTAAGCCCTCAGCCTTACTTACTCAGGCTTGCAGGACTGGAAGCGTCCACGTATCGGAGATAGCATAAACGCCCATCATGTCGTCCGCTTTCGGAGGGTGATTGTCGCGGGGCCCTAAAGCCCTAAACAGGGCCCCGACCCTTAGGCAACCCAAAAAGCACTGATTCCTAAACCCTGAACCCTCTGAATCCTACAAACCCTCCCCGGAGAGCCCCGTCCTCCCACAGGCTGGGAGGGATGGTGCCGCTGCTGCCAGTGATGAGCGCAAAGAGCGTGGGCTCGGCCGGATGTTGCGCGTCCGGATCCACGGCGGGCACGCACCTGTGCTGTTGGGGGTCCCAGGGCGGCTAGCGGGGCGTCGGTTGCATAGGTCGGGTAGAAAGATGGACGGATCGATAGAGGAACCCCGTTTGACAAATGTGCAATGTAGGCTGTGTGTTGCAGGGCTCAGCGTGCAGCACGGAGAGTTTAAGTCTCCTGTATGCACCCGCACGCTGCACTCAGGGGCTTCTAAACCCTGTAGTGTTCAGAGGCTATAACTTTCAATCCCTCTATAGAACCAAACAGTTCAGTGGCTTCACGGGGGTTATTGAAGGCCCCCGGACAAACCAAGCCACCGCGAGGACCCGGACACGGCCCCGGCTGCGTCGACCCGTCCCGCTTGACCAGCCGCGGAGCCGCGCAGCCAACAGGTGGATGGGGTGGCTTCCCAGAAGGTCCTGGGGCTCTGTTTCTTACATGTCCACTAACTTGGCCACCCCAAATACTTAAAAGGGTGTGAACTTTTGTATTGCAAGAGTTGGCAGGTTGCCACAGAGTTTAAAATACTTCGGGCTCTAGGACTTTGGGAGCTTGGGTTGTTGTAGGGATTGAAGCTTCTTCTGCGGACATGTTTGTGGTTTAGGCTTGCAGGTTCTGAGGGTGTGGAGTTCCGGATTGAAGGTTTGTTCTGAAACGTTTGCGTGCTGTTGAGGCTAGCGAGCAGGAGGGCCTCAGGGGCCTAGATTGGTTTTGGTTCCTTTTTCATGGCCACACTCACACGCCTTTACTTGGAAACCTCTCCCCTCAACTCCAAACCCTTCTGTTCGACAGCTCGAACCCAAACAACCTAAAACGAACATGGCCACCCGACAGAATGTTTTCTGGTCTGCACCCAGGGGACCATGTGCGGCAAGCACCAATCTTCTGGCAAACCTGGGCTCTGAACCCTACACCCTAAACCCTAAACCCTAAGACTCTGTAGGGTATGAAGATGAAGCGTTTTGGGCCGAGGGTTTAGGCTTGGGGAATGAAAATTTGGCTGAGGGCCTGTGGCCTTGGGTTTTAGGGTGAAACGAAAACGGCATCAGCCCGTTTTTGGGGAAGCCGCTTCACATATGAACGAAAACAAGCTACAATCAGCGGCCCGAATCGCGGAACCCCGAAACCCTAAAACCTTGCACCCTAGACACAAGGGCTTGATGAAACCAAAGCCATACCTCATAAGGCTTGTGTCTAAACCCTAAACCAACAAACAGTAGTATATACTGGGACCCTTTCATGAAATCTCACAGCCCGCCGACCTTTGCACACTCGGCCGGCGCATTTGCCTCAAAGTGGTCGGAGTGGGAGCAGTCATCCCGGAAGCATCCGCGCTCGATGCCCAAAGTCTCCAGATTCCTCGACTCTTGCCCTTATACACCATATAAGTAAACCCAGTAAGGCCCAAAAAAACTAATCCCCCTGAACACAACCCGGCCCTAAACCCTCGAAGCCCTGATCCGAGACCCACCCTAAAGCCTCCCCAAGCACTATAAACCCCACAAACCCTATCAACCCTGCAAACCCTGTCAACCCTAAAGACCCTAGAGACCCAAAGTGCGCGAACTCCATGAGGGACCCGGTTCCCCACGGCCAAGGCTCACAAAGAGCCCGGAGCCATCCAGGGACCTTCCAGGGCTTAGGGTTATTTAGGGTTTAGGGTTTAGGGTTTAGGGTTTGGGGTTTGGGGTTTGGGGTTTGGGGTTTGGGGTTTGGGGTTTGGGGTTTGGGGTTTGGGGTTTGGGGTTTGGGGTTTGGGGTTTGGGGTTCAGGGTTCAGGGTTCAGGGTTCAGGGTTCAGGGTTCAGGGTTCAGGTCGGGAATCAGGAACCTAACTTCCACACCCTGCAACCCTTGAACCGGTTAACCCCCGAATACCCTTCAACCTTCATTCCCTTCAATATCCTCAAACATCTGTTCTCCTAAACGTGATCCCCTGAACACCCAAATACGGGAAAATGTACAAATATCCCACGGCCCTCCCCAGCCAAGCTCCAAGATTCTACGACTCTACATCCTGAAGCCTACGATAGGGGCCTAAATACTAGAATAGGGTCTTGGGCCATTCTAGTATTACTTATATGGGAACCATGAGGCATACCACTAGTAATTGTCCCAATCCTATATATTGCAGGCCTGGTGGAGACGCCCACTTCGATACACGCGGGCCACTCCGCGTGCGTGGCGTCCCCCATGGAAGAGGCCTATTTCGGATGTCGCAAACAAAATAAGGGCGTAGGTTTAGGGTTGAAGGGTTTAGGGTTGAAGGGTTTAGGGTTGAAGGTTGTCGGGTTTAGGGTTTAGGGGCCTGGGTTCAGGGGCCGAGGCCTCTGGAAGCACTACCCACCCTCATCACCCTAAACCCTGTGTGCAGGGTTTGGGGCCTAGACAAGCTGTCTATGGGGCCCAGCATGCCGCCTGCACGTCCCCCTGGCTCAGGGCGTCGATCGGAGCATCAGGCGCAGAGCCGTTGATGTCCGGCCATGGCCCAGCACCTTTGGGGTTGTAGTTTTGTAGGGGTTGTGCTGATCATAGGCGGATAGTACGGGAAGTTACTCCAAGTTCCTGTGCCAACTCAACCCCCTGAATGTGGCTCCCAAGGAACAGGGCTCTGCCACCGCGAAGTCCGATCGAAGGAGGTTGAAGTACTGCACCTCCGGCTGGGGTTCAGGGGTAGAGGGTTGAGTTTGGGGTTTCGGAACCATCGTTTTGGGAATCCGAGGCCTCGGGCTCGCTGCCGTCCAGCATCTTCACTTCCCAGACCGTGTCCTGCAGTGTGCATGAAGGTTACCAGCCAAGCTTCTGGGCCTTTTACACACCAACCTCGCCGGATACTGCGTTATCAAGCGAGAGCCACCTTCCTGAAAAATAGATCAACTCCTGCATGATCCTGTAACCAAAGCCTGCCCTCAACCCTCAACCCTAAAGCCCCTGTAACCTTAAAAAGTGCACTGGGCCGGCCTGGCTGCCTGGCTCGCCGGTGACGGTGAGCTGGACCCTCAGCTGGACCTCCCGGCCATTCGGGTCCTCCGGTTGCACGTACTCTGCTAAACCCTAAGCCCTAAACCCCAAACCCTAAATTCTAAATCCCGTTGCTGGACTATAGTGTAGGGTTGCTCTTCGACTACTGCTCGGGATCCTGGTTGCGGGTCAAGGGTTTAGGAGTTTGTATAAGGGCTTCTCAATTCTCAAGCTTCGGCTCAATGGCTTAAGGGCATCGGCTCTGACACAACTCGGTGCCTAGCTGGATTTAGGGGCTTTTGGGCTAAGCAACATCGAAATTGAACCACTCTTCCTTTGATACCTCAACCACGAAAGCCTAAACCCCACATGGGGTCAGGGTTTCAGGCTTACGTTTTAGGGGCCAAACATTGAGTTCTGTGGAGGTACTGTATAATTCTACGTCCACTATGCGCCCAATTATATCCCCACAAACACCTATAAGCCCCGAAAAAACCACCGTAGCCTCCTAAACGGGGGTCCTCGCCACCCCGCTGGCGGAGCCTGAGGCGGCTCTTGGGCGTGAGACGCCGGATCTCTGCGTCACCCAGCTCGCGCCAGCCGACCGAACACTCGGCCACATGCTCCTCTGGGAGCTCATGAAAGTTTTGGGGGTGAAGGTTGTAGGGGTTACACCCTGAGGGGGTTTGCAGAGTTTAAGGAGGAGAGTACTGGGGCTGCTCGAGATGCTCTTTGGCACCTTTAAAGAACTCCTCAAGTTACAAAAAACCCCGTAAGCCCGACCAGGACGAAGGCTCTAAAAGGTTGCAGCGAACAGCCACACTAGTTATGGGTTCTAGGGGTTGCGGGCTTTATTTCGATTTTTTTGGGAGGTGGACCTCTTCGGGTTTTTGTTTGGGGGTTGTGGGCGTTCGGTTCTTTTTTGGAGGTTTGGTTAAACTTAGGGCTAACGGCTAGTCTGGTGTTGGGAGTCGAGGCCTTTCCGAGTTCTCAGGGTTTTGGGGGGTTGTCCAGAATCTCCGAACAGAAATGGTTCGCGTTACATATCGGGGTCATTCGAAACGGGGTCCGAGTGATGGGGTTCAGGCATTGGGGAGACAGCCACATAGTTTTGTACAAAAGCCCACAGCTCATAGCAGCTACTGTAGTAGGCGCCTGAACAATTTGAATAGGTATACTATACGTAGAAATACGGGGCGATGAGGTATTGCTATTTACAATTATTCCGGCCCCTATATTCGTAATTTAGTAAGACTGGGTCTCTTGAGAATCTTGCGCTACTCAGTTCCCCTTTCCGACGGGTCCTTGGCGGGGTCCCTCAAGGCCTCCTTGGCAGCGCCCTCCAACTCCTCGGTCCGGTGATCCAGCTCCTTGAGGAGCGAGGCGGCCTCGTGTAGTGCCCGCAGGGTGGGGGAGGCCTTGTACTTCGCAAAGTGGGCCGCCTCCTCGGCCAGCAGCTTCTGCAGTGCCGACTCGGAGGCTTCCTCGAGCCGCACCTCCTCCCAAGCGCCCGGCGTGCGGAGCCGCGCGTTGGCCTCGGCGGCCTCGGCCTCGTCGGGCTCCAGCGGAAGGAGCTGCGGCGAGAGGGCGATGGTGGTGTAGAGCGCGCGCCGGCCCCCGGACGCAGCCAGCGTCGGCACAGGAATCCAGCTCTCGCCCTGGTGCCCGAAAACAACGCCCGGGGCACCCTTCATGGCCTCAAGGTCCCTGGCCAGCTTCTCTGCCGGAGCCTTCAGCTGCTGGCCCTGGTGGTGGAGGACATCTTCCGCCGTGATGTCCTCCGCGAGCAGATGGACAAGGGCCATGCTGCAGGTCTCGCCGCTTGGGAGTTTGCCGGCGGGGTCCTTCAACCAGGCGTCCACCACGGGAACGATGGCCTCGGAGGCGGGCTTCTTGGAAGAGGCACTGCCCAGCTGGGCCGCCACGGAGGCCACAAGCCTTGCGGACTAAACGAACGCTGGAAGGTTCTTTTATTAAGGTTCACTATATACTTTGGAACATATCTCTAGGGACTCTATTACTATAACATAGCAGAAGAGTAGAAAATGTCAGTACACATAGCAAATGCTGTTCATTTTTCGTCCCCAAGAAGCTGTGGGCTCAGAGCGCGCCGGGAGGCGCCCCCGCAGCAGCGCTCCTTCTCCTTCGAGAGGTCCGAGGCGGCGCCGAAGCATTGCTCCTCGAAGTCCCCCACGCTGCAGCAGTTGGCAAAGGTCTGCTGCTGCCTTCCTCGGTACTCTCTGAAACTGATGCTCTGAAGATTTTTCTTGAAAAGGGAGATCCTGCTTAGAAGCACAATAAGTGCAACAATTGTCCAAAGGGCCGAGCGTCCTTCAAAGCACCGGCCCGGGTCCAGATCCACGAAGCCGAGCTGCTTCAACACACCTGTCAATGATGAAATCCTCCCCCCTTGTCTTCTACTCTGCACCGGGGACTCTCGCACATCGCGCCGCGTTGCACCAACCTGCATGCACTTCCGCAAGGACTCCTCGCCAACCCTGGTGTTGCTGGGTCCTTGGCTGGCGAGACCTCCCTTGCATCCGTGTCAAGGTCACACCCCGTAGGGGATAGGATTAGGGGGCCCCTTGGTTTTTCGACCCTCTGAATAAGGTCCCTGTTTAAGAGAGCCAGAAGAGGGTTAAGAAGGGGTTCCCTTTTAAGGGTCCCCCTGATCCTACCTAGGACCCCGAAGCCCCTCACAACATCAGCATCCGCTGGGGGCCTGGCCGCACACCCTCGGCGTGCTGCTTGGACGCTTCCTGCAGCCCGTCCTCTTCTTGACGGGGCTCTGGCTTGACTAACTTGCGTACATGGTCAGTTTCCTAAACTGTCCCTTTTGGGTTCGGGCCATGTATAGTATAAAACGAGCCCAGGAGTACGCCCTGAATTTAGAGATTTAGGATTTATGCTTATTTTGGGGCTTAGGGGGTCTCAATCGTGGAAACTCTGAAGGCCTAAGACCCTAAAATCCTAAAACCAAACTTAAAACGCTAACCGCAACAAAAGGTCTGGTGCTTTCAGCCCTTTTACACCTAGAACCCCTGCAAGCCCTATACGGGTATTTCACAAAAAGTTGGCCCTCCTCATTCCCGAAGACTCAAAGGTCTACCCAATCTACTGCAATCCTCACTAATGTAGGAGCCCCAATAAATACACCGCCCTCAGGTCCCTCTACTTGTGCCGTGCGAGTCCCAGTAGCGCAAGCATTACCTTACCCCTCTACCAGCCCCGCCATAAAGCCCTGAAAAACCTACGTCCGCAAAGAAGCCCAATCATAGAAAGCTAACTCCTGCATAAACAGGGAGAAGCTCCAAACTCTAAATCCTGGACCCTAAACCCTATAGACCTTGAACCCTAAACCCTAAACATCACCACGCTGGACCCGATACATCCGAACTCAAACCAGAGGCATTGCTTTGCGAGTCCCCCCGGTTGGGTCCTGCTGCTCCTTGACAGACTCCATCATCCTGGGTTTAGGGTCTACAGGGTCTGGAGGGTTTAGGTTGAGGGTCGACAGCGCCTGAGCTCATACAGTTCTAGGGGTTACTGTCGTTCTGGGTTTCGTGCTTAGGACGTCACGGTTGAGGCTTAGGGCCTGCGGGGTTACGTAGGTCGGCGAGTAGGAACAGTTGGGAGTTCATAGGGTTTGGTGCCTCAAACCCCAAAACTCAGAAACCCCTAAACCCTAAACGCTAAACCCTTGGTATCCCTTAGCATCCCGCAGTGTTTAGGCCCCTTCCGGCCTCTGTGTGGCAGGCATGAGTTCTACGACAACAACACATACAGCCCTCAATCCTAACCAACAAATCTCTGATTGAATCTACTCCCAAACCCTCTAGACCCTTCACCTCCCAACGCTCGTAAACCCCCACAAAACCCTACAAACCCTATAAACCCTAAACCCTAAACCCCAAACGAAGCCCACCTCCATCAACCAGAGGAGCGCTTCCCCGAAGTGCCGCCGGGCTACTGCTGCAGCTGCATTCGAACAATGAGGCCGGCGGCGCGCAGCGCGCAGAAGGGCGCCATTCCTTTTTGGGATGACATAGGTTTTAGGATTTAGGGTTTAGGATTTAGGGTTTAGGGCTAGAGATTGTAGAGCTTATGGGTGTCAGAAGTGTGTGTAGCGAGGCATAGGGTTTTCCCTCTCCAAAAATGATTACAGGGCTATACAAGGGCCTGGGCGTGTTTCTAGAACCGTACACTGCAGCAAATGCACAGAACGGCTGGAAAGAAGCAGAAGTTCAAAGAACCCAAATCCCACTCAACCAGGTCCCCGAAATCGTCAAAGCTAAACCTCAAAGTTAACCTTAGCCTTGTAGACTGTGCAAAGACTGCCCACCCTCATAAGGTGCCGACGTGCCAGGTGCGGCCATCGCTGACCCACCTGCATGGTTATTGTTGGCGAGCAGGGTTTAAAGAAGGTTGGGATGTTCCCCCTTTGTACTAATAAGGGATTACAACAGGTGGTTCTTATAACCCCTATCAAGACTGTTAGTATAAGGGGGAACATCCCAAGGATTAGGGTCGAAAGCTAAGAGGCATGTGGAGGATTCGCAAACGGCTTTAGGGACCCTACAGCCATGCTGTTCGTGGGCCGTCGAAATGCAGCCAGAAAAAGTGCAACCAAGGGATTCCTTCATAAGCTCAGGGCGTGTGGCAGCAGTTCTTGAGGGACAGTCATCGGAGACGCTAGCATTGGCATTCAGTCTCCATGCCAGACCACCCCCCCCCCCCAAAAAAAAAAAAAAAAAAAAGATAAAGAAACAGAGCAAACACCTCGAAGCACAACAAAGCAACAACACGTGAGCTCTGAGACACCCGCCTCGGGAAAATGGTGTGTGAGCCGGCGAGACAGGCGGATCAACGGATCCTTGGACTCCTTGCGACTAGGGCTTTTTGGGGGGATTCAGGGTCCTTAGGGAGTTCAGGGTCTGTTAGGATTAAGGCTTTTGGGCACTTAGGGGTTTATAGGGCTTCAAGGTTAGTGAGTTTGGAGTTGGGCTTGGTGTTCAATTTTCAGGGCTTATTGGGGCAAGGGTTCAGAGCTGAAAGGGTTTTGGAAGTTTTCTCCAGTGGGCTAGACCCAAAACCCCAATTCCTACAAACCCCTAAACCCTGTGAACCCCTAACCTTCAACACAAACCCCGAATTGTGAACACCTAAACCCTGAATCTGCAGTTTGGGATTTGAGGGTTAGGAGAGGTTTACCGTTCCCAACGGCTTGATCAACTTTGGGTTGCTGACGTTTAGGGTTTAGGGTCTTTCGCAAGTATTCAGGCTCAGGTTCGGGAATTTCGATGAGTTTCTTTTCACTTCGTATAGTTAACTTTTGAGAACTTGCACGGTGCAGCGGCTTGAGAGCGTAGTGCGTATAGGCAAAACCTGCCCACTCCGGTTCCGGGTTGCGGCTGGCTCTTTCTTTCCCGAAATCTCGAAGAGTCTCGCCTATGAACCCTTCAAGCCCCTAAGCCCTAAGCGCGAAAGCCCTAGACCATAATCCCTAAACCCCAAACTTCACAACCCTGCATAGCCCTGAATTCCAAAACCTCTAAACCCTATAAACCCCTAAACCCCTAAACCCTAAACCAGTTCACACCATACACCCTGCATCTGGAGTCCTCGTCGTCTTCCACGAGGATGCCGCGCTTGGCGGCGCGGAGAAGACGGTCGACAAGCTCCTGCAGTGAGAAGGGTTGCGGCTTATTGTTGAGGGGCTTAGGCTTTCGGGCTTAGTAGCGCTGGAACCTTAAGGAAGCTAGGGGAGTAGCGGGGAATGTCAGGCAAAGTTGATATACCAAATTACCCCGGCGCCCCGCTCCCTTACGGACAGAGAAGTCGCCCACGTTCTGTAGGTTTAGGGGTCTTATGCTACAGGTACCAGGGTCCTGCTAACAAACGAAATACCATGTTCCTAGAGGTCCACTGGTTCCCTTCTTGGGGTTCCCGCATGACTTCTTTGATGGATGCCCGGAAGAATGAATTCGAAGGTAGAGGGTTTACGAAAATAGGAACCCCAAAAATAAACCCCAAACTAGTAGGATCTCCTTACAAAAGGACCCCGACAGGATTCAACTGATGACGGGCCTAGCGATCCCTTCATGGAGGGCATTTGGGGCATGAAGTCTACTTTGCTAAGGGTGTAGGGCTTGAGCTTGAGCTTAAGGCGGGTCTTGGCGCCCAGCAAGAAGTCCTGAAGAACTAAGTAACGGCCAAGTCCAAAGTAATCAATACAAAAGCACACAGTTCTACACGGCAGGTGATCGCGTCCTGCTTCTCCAACGGTGGGAGCTCGTCCTTCGAAGAAGTTCAGTGTTCGGCTTTCGAACACGTTTACGACATGGTTGTTTTGTGTATTGGGCGTATCCCAGAAACGACATCTCATACACACACTCACCCAGTTTTTGCACAAGGAACCCTACCCACGCTCAAACCCCAAAACTGCGGCCCTCAACCCGTTGGCTCAAGAAGGCTTGGGGTTCACAGTGGAGTCTGGCAGGGGGGTGCTGCCGACATGGGGGGGGATCTGAACTGCGGGCGCTTGTTGGTACCCTGAGCTACGAAGAAGAGAGACTTGTAGAGTAGTTGAGACGTATACGGGCACACATTGCTGATCAATCCGGGGGTCCAGGTTCTGCACGGAAGGCCCGCTTGCGGGGGGTTGCTTTCTATTGTGATCCCCTTTTTTGGGGGGGCGGGGGCGGGGGGCCTTCTTTAAAGGATATTAGTCGAAGCAGTTGTGCGAGCAGTTTCTGTTTGTTTGTTTAACCATTTTCAAGCTTTTCTCTTGTTCACTATTTCAAACCTTGCTCTAGCTTCATACGTTTTCAATCTCTGCCATCTTCGCTGCAAAAGTTGCGCCTGTGCTTGTCAAGGCTGAGACGGAGTCGCAGAGTAAGCTGCTCCTCCAGGGTCATGGCCTTGTGAAGCATCCCAAGGATCGTTGGATGCTTTTCTGCCATCTCGAAAGTGGAGACCGGGACATCGTCGTACTTTGTCGGGTAGCTTTCACAATATGGAAGGGCACGCGCATCAAGAAGCAGCTTCACCACCTGCTCCCTGGACGACTCGTCTCGATTGCTTACGAGCAAAGCGTCGAAGATGGTGGTCTCTACATGTGCCCGCGCGTGGACTAGCGCCTTGACCATCTCCACGTGGCAACCCTGCGCGGCAAGACTCACCGCTCGTTCTCGGCCCTCTGTCTTGTCGGGGTCTGCTCGTGCCTCAAGCAAGCACTGCGCCAGGGTCAGGTTGCCCCGTTGGACCGCGCTCTGCAGGGAGGTGTACTCCTTTTCTCGATGCTCAATTTCATTTGGATCTAAAGGTAGCCGAAGAAGCCGCTCCACGGCGTCCATCGAGCCCCGATCACATTCTCTCTTAAACTCGTAGCTTTGCCCCCACGTTACGTCAACGAAGGTCTTCCGAGAAAATACCGCAGTCAGAACAAGAGGTGGCTCCACTGCCGGCTGAATCTGCATCTCATCCTTCTCCAACAGAGTACCGCCGTCCCCCACCTTAGTTGTCCAGTACCTAGGGGTTTTAATGCTTAACCTTTGGGATTATAAGGGGAATATATGAACCCAAAAAGGTTAAAGGTTACCTACTCTACTACTAAGCCACAAGGCTCACATGGACGTTGTAGGGGGTTAACCCCATCTCTTTGTTGGCTTCTTCTTGGGCGTATCTTGCCGCCACGTGCCTCCTCAAGCTGCCTATGTCGCCGAAAGATCGAACAGCCTCCTCGCTGAATTCCATGATGGCACCGCTGGGCATGCGGACTTCAAGTGCGAAGAAGCTTTCAGCCATGGCGGAAGCTACACTGCGGCGCAACTTGCCTGATGTCAACAACAAAATTGCCAGGAACAGCAACCGCTAGCACACTTGACCATACTCTTAATAAACATGTTATTTTCTGATATCCTCTTGGGTTTTATATTAAACGGAAATAAAAAAACAAATCCCCAGGGGGATATAGTTGAGATTAGCACCTGGAGCAGCTTCGTGGTCTCCCAGGGTGCAACTCTGACACGTAGATAAGTCCATCAACTTGGCAGCTACTTTGAGAAAGATCTCCACGGGCGAGCGCTATTGTTGAGCAAGGAAATAAACCCTACACCCTAAACCCTGAACTCTAAACCCTCAGCCCTAAACCCCAAACACGAAACCCTGAACTCTAAGCTTTTTACAGTCAAGGACCTTTCTGAGGCGTCGGGTGCCCAACTGCCTAGGCTCCACCTTAAGAGCCCCAAAACTTACATGTACTGCTATGACGGCTTGTAGAATCGCGGTTTAGGGTTTAGGGCTTAGGGTTTAGGGTTCCCTTAACCCGATTATAAACCCTAAACCCCAAACCCCAACCCTGGCTCCTGGGGGTCGGTCCCCACCAGCTCCGCCTGAACCCGTCGGAGGGCGGACTGCAGGCGGCTGATCGGCCACTTCCGAAACTCCTGGGTCGAGGGTTTTACGTCTAAGGGTTTAGGGTCTTGGCGGTTTGGGGTTTAGGGTTTAGGGTTTGGGGTTTGGGGTTTGGGATTTGGGGTTTGGGGTTTAGGGTTGGGGTTTAGGCTCTCTACACGGCATGAGATTTAGAGTTGAGGATTTAGGGGCTCAGGGGTTCTGGCTCGGTTGGGCGCTGCCGGGGTGCCTCCTCGTTCAGCTCGCGCAAGGGCTCACCGGCGTGGACCTATGGCTGCAGCGTTTCGTTTTGGGCGGCTGCATCTAGGGATCGGGTTTAGGGCTGACCCTAAACACCCTAATTAAGCCATCAACCCTACGTAAGCACACGGGTTGAGCCCTGCAAGCCTGCAGAACCCTAAACCCTAAACCCTAAGCTTTCGACCCTGAACCCTACCGACGAAACCAAGCCCCGGTCCCTTCACACGTGGCCTCCAGCCGGGGCTCTCCGAACCTGGCTCAGAGGCGAGGAAAGACTGTGGGCAGGGAGGGGGGATGCATGGGGGAAGGTTGGGGTTTAGGGCTTAGGGCTTAGGGCTTAGGGCTCAGGGCTCAGGGCTTAGGGCTTAGGGCTAGAGCTCAGGGCTCAGGGCTTAGGGCTTAATTAGGGCTTAGGGCTAGGGCTTAGGGCTTAGGGCTTAGGGCTTAGGGCTTTGGGTTTGGGTTTAGGGTTTAGGGCTTAGGGGGCCGAGGGAGGTGGGACATTGGATCAGGTCCTGAGGTCTAAGCCGTGTATAGGGGCTCAAGGGTTTCTCATGCTTTCGGGTGACAGAGTCTAGGTCTCCAGGGTTGCAAGGTGTTAGGGCCTAGGGTTTGGTGGTTCCCCCGCCTCACGTCCAGGGTGTTGCCGGCAGCCGGGACCTGCCAGTACCTGGCCGAAACTTCGGCTGCAACCCCCCTCCATGAGGGGGCTTATAGGGTTCAGGATCTCGAGATTCGGGCCGACTAGGTTCTACCGCATCCTTGCAGATACCCTCAATTCATCCCATGAAGAAATGAGGGGGCCCTAACCCCAAACCCTCCATTTCCAAAATGTCCTGAATCCTTATATGTGTTGCGGGATACTCTGGGCGGGCCCAGACAGGGAGAGGCCCCGAAGAGGCGCCCCTTTCAAAGCTTACCGCTTCCCAGCGGGAAGGGTCCCCAGACCATCGCTTGAAAAGGGTAGAATCGGGGGACATACGGGACTAACTCCCAAATATCCTACGTAGATCGAAGGAAAAGGGTGTGCAAGAAGGCTTGCTTCGTATGCGGGTTCCTTGAAGTCTGGGCTTTGGCACATCCGATTCGGACTTTTGTGGGGTTTGTAGAGGAGTTTGGGGGCTTAAGGGTCCCAGAAACCCGAAAGTCCTCTAAACCCAACACCACCCCGGCTGGTCCCTCCCTTCCCAGGGCACGGTATCCTCGGGCACTCCATGACCAGCCTTCCATTACAGTGCAAGGTTTCGGGTTTCACGCTTACTGTATGTCCCTGTCTTGAGTAGGAACCCCACAAGCGACTCCCGTGGGGGCTTCAGTCCCTTTTGCGACCTTGGGTGTGAAACAACTTTTAGAGTCTGAGGCAGTTGGTGTGGATCTGGGATCTTAAAGACGCAGTGTCCTAAACCCTATAAGCCCTCGCTCCTAAACACCAAAGACCCAGGCTTGGGACATGTCTTGAGCCCTTCATCCTGTGCGTCACTGCGCAAATCTAGAAAGCCTCGATGCTTCTGATGGACTCTTCTGCTAGTTTGGTTTTAGTGTTGAGTGGCTTATGGTCTTAGGGGTTAATGTTGGACCCTGTTTAGTAGGGGGGCCTCTTTAAAGTCAAATTGGCCGATTTATTCAGGATCCCCTGACTGTTTGGGGTATCCTCTTTAAAGTCAAATCGTCCGGGCGCCGTTAGAGAAATCCACGCGGCGCGCCTTTAAAAAAGATGCTGGGCATCGCTGCCCCTTTTAAACTCCTCCCTATTAAAATCATATAAGCCCCCGGGGCCGTGTAATCAGGATCCCATCCACGCCTCGACTGTTCGGGGGGGGGGGGGGGGCCTACACATTAACGAGGGTCCCACTCTTTGTGTTTTGGGTCCCAGATAACCCCTAAGACCAAAACCGGAACCCCCCTAATCCCAGACCCTCCCCCCCCAACCCTAAACCCTAAGCCCTACACCCTAAACACTAAACCCTAAACTCTACCCCCCCCCCCCCCACCCCAAAAGAAAAAAACGAAAAAACGAAAACGAAAACGCCGCGACCCCAAGACAAGCTCGTGCCTGGAGGGCACATCCCACGCCTCGGAGTCCGGGCTTTGGGCGGTGTCAAGAGGCTCTGATTTGGGCTTCGTGATGGCTCTGCTTTTGAAGATCTGGTGTATAGAACCCTCCTATACCCTAACCCTAAACCCTATAAACCCTGTCACAACACCCCCCAGGCCTCGGTGCGCAGGTGCGAGATGGGCGCGAGCTTCGACCGCAGAACCTTGGGGAGCGCCTGGATGAGTTTGTTCCAAGATGTACTATAGGGGCCTTAATGATTGGAATAAGGTTTTAGGAGCTGTTATCGTATGATTACACAGGGACAACACTACTAGTAATAATTCCGACCCCTATGTTGGGGCCTTGAGTTTCGAGTTCGTAGGGGTTACGGTTCCTAATGGGAGCTTCCGGTCCTAAAGGGAACCTATGATTTAGGGTTTCGTGTCATTTTTGCCTACTGGTGCTTCAGGGAACTTGAACTCTGAAAGTGGGTTGAACTGTAGGGTCCTTCGTACCGATTCTTAGCAATGAAAGGGTTTTTAGGCCTTAAAGGGTTGAGGAATCAGGGTGGGGCTTAGTGGCCTCAAAACCCTGTGTAGCACTGAGGGGTCGCCGGGGTACCCAGCGCCGAAACACTAAGCTCCTACAAGCCCGGCCTGCATCCCGAAGGCCCTCAAGCCAAACCTCGAAGCCCTAAGCGTACGCTCTCTGCGGGTGGAGGGATGCTTACACAGAAAGCTCCGACAAGCCCAGGAAGAACCGAACAAGGTTAAAAAGAGTGGCACTCAGGTACCCAGGACATCCGTGAAAGCCCTGGTGGGTTGAGAGCTCAAGGTGACGGATTTGGGGTTTAAATACCCGAACCCACAAACCAGGACCAGGATTAAGGTTCTGGCAGAAAGCTTTGCAATCTGCCCGCCTTGCACAGGCCGCGGTCGCAGTCTCGTGTAGGGAAAGGAGCCCGGAAAGCCACCTCTTTTGCCCGGGCGCAGAAACTTAAGATGCTTCATTTAGGAAAGCTTAATAGATGTGGCGGGCCTGTAGTTCCTTCCTGTGCCTTTGAACTCCATTTGAAATGCTGTTGGTCCCAGGGCTTTGCACGTTGCTACCTGTTGGGATGGATGATCAGGCATAGCTTGCACAAAGATGCCTTGAACGCACCGCCCATCGCATCAATATGTCCGCAATCCTAGACCCCATAATCGGAATCCTGAATATAGCTGCTAGAACATGAGGGCTGAACCTAACAACCTTAACGCAAACAAGATAAGCAACCGTAACCTGTCAACCCTAAGCTTCACACGGGAGCCCGTCCTCGGTACCAGAAGCCAGCTGCTGCACTGCCATTGCCGCATGCAGGAGCGCAGATTCGGCCACGCGGCTGGCGTCGCCAGGGCTTACCTCTGCAAGAAGAATGGTTTGGGTTCGGGGGTTCGGTCCAAAAACTGAACTGTGGAGAAGTGTCAGCATCGCTACTCCACCCAACGGTTATTGCCTGTTATTAGGAGATTCCCAACAAACCTAGCGACGGTCACACGCTGAAAAGGATGATGTGGATATTCCGCTATGCCGGCCCCCGGCTGCGCCGGGGGGTCGAGCATGACTGCCATGGGCTCCGTGTCCTGGAGGCCGAGTACAGCTGCCACGTCGGCCAGCGAGAACAGTGCCGGCGCGTTGGCCGCGGGCCGTGCCAGCAACAGACTCGCTGTGCCACTGCTTGCATCCACGCGCAAGCCCCGCACGGCCGAGAACTCAGCAACGTGGGAAGCCCACTTTGGCCTTGGGCGCTGGCCCGACACGAAGCCGGCGGCGTCCTGGTGGAAGGGCGCGTCAGCAAGCACGGACTCAACCTGCGACCACGTGTTGTGCGTGTCACGGAGCAGAGCCCCCATCAGCTCATAGCGTGCGTAGGTGAGGTTGACCTCACCTCCACCCAGAAGCGCCGCTTCATAGAGGGTGTACTCTGGCACAGCTTGGGGCAGAACCGATGAGTCGGACTCGTGCGTGAAGGAGTGCAGTTTCTCAAGAAATGCTGCGTGAAGCCTCCCTGACAGTATGTCTATGAAGACGGCATCCGAGACTGGGAGAAGAGGCGGAGACCAAAGGGGATTCACCCGTGCGGCAGCGAAGTAACGCTTGAGCTGGGCCATGACCTTCGGCCCATCTTCGGCCACGCCGAAGCGCGCGGTGACCTTCCGCAGGAGCAGGTAGCCGCTGCGCTGGACCGCCAGCCGCGCACCGGGCAGCAGCTGGTGGTCCGCCATGTTGGCCGCGTAGTCCACGAGCTCCAGAATGGCGCGCTTGAGGCTGTATTGCACGGCCAGGCGCTTGGCGGCCTCTGGGGCAGACCAGATGTCCTCGAAGATGTAGATGTCCAGCCAAGCGTCTCCTCCGCAGTTCTCGCCCAAAAGCTCCAAAGCCCGCCAGAGCCACAGGGCGGCGCTGAGGAAGCACATGGCGACTTGGAGGGGCAAGTCGCAGGCGGGGGTCAGGTCGATGTACGAAAGCCCCAGCCTGACCTTAGGATCATGAATTCAATCAAGCGCTTGGGCTTTATGGGCTTTAGGGATCTCCAAGAAAAAAGGGACTAGTAACCCATACTAGTACTCACATGAACAATCACAAGAGAACCCCAATAAATCCCATAAACTCAGCAACCCGGAGACGGGATCCCAGTTCTCTTCGATCTCCTCATCCCCCCACATGCGCAGGGCGCGCTCCTCGTAGCGGTTCACGGGCTTCATGTTGTAGCCCGGGATACTCATCCTTGGGGGCGAAGGCAGCTAAGATCCCCATTTGAAGGCTACCCTAAACCCTACATAAACCCCATGTAACCCCTCGAAGCCCGATAAGAACCCAACAAAACCCGAATAAGCCCTACCGACCTTCAAACCCTATACAACCCCCAAAGTGTGTGCAGGTATATATGTATATTCATATATATATATATATATGTATATATATATAGATAGATTCATGTATTTATTTTGTATTTGCTAATTTTTATGTCTTTATATATATATATATGATCTACCTATCTATAAATGTGTATATATATATACACATGTACACATATGTACCCTGGTAAGAACCGAGGAAGGGCTTTCACCCAAGGGTCGACTGGAAGCGCGGGCTGCGTGGCGGCTGCACATCCGAGGGCTCGCGGCCCTGGGGGAGGGTGGTGCCGCCCATGCCAACCTGCGGCTCGGGGCCTTTAGGGTTTAGGGTTTAGGGTTTAGGGTTTAGGGTTTAGGGTTTATTAATGTCGGGCTGCTAGGGCTTTAGGGGTTAAGGTTCAGGGTTTAAGGCATATATATGGCACCTTTAGAAGGCGGCTCGGGGCCTTTGTAGGGGCGTTTTTAGGGCTTTGGGCTTAAGAGGGGTTCAGGGTTTAGGGCTTGGGGTTCAGAGCACCTTTAGAAGGCTTGTAGGGTTCATATGCATTCGGGTTCATAGCGTAGGGCTAAACCCTATACCCCTAACCCCCCCGTAAAGTCCCTAGAGTCCCAGGAGCCACGGGCGGATGCTCCATCATGGCTGCAAAGATGTCCGGCATCAGCCCAGACCTTGCGACCTCCGCCAGTAGGTGGCCTGCAGCCGTGTGGAGCCTGGGTTTTTAGGGGGGGGGGGGGGGGGATTGAGTAGGGTTTAGGGTTTAGGGTTTGGGGTTTAGGGTTTAGGGTTTAGGGCTTGGGGTTTAGGGTTTATGGTTTAGTCGGGTGGGCCCTGCGAAAATTAAACTTCCGTGAGCTATGTGGGGCCATCTGAAGGGAGTATAGAAGGGAATCTAGGGGCCCTGAGTGATTTTCAGGTGATGTCTAAATCAATCCCAGGAACTCGGGGAAGGCAATTCCCTTCCAGACGGCCTCGGCTACGTTGGCGTCAGCTTAAGTGTTCGTTCCAGAAAACATTTTGGTTTCGGATTCTGGGCCTCTTGCTGAATGCGTATTCATGGACACAATCGCACACGCACACATGCGCGCGAGAACACACACTTACACACTTACACATCTACACTTACGCACTTACACACATGCACACTTGTGCACACTTGCACACCTGCACACTTGCACATGCACTTTCACATTTACACACTTACATTCCGACACACTTACGCACACTTACACACTTACACATGCACTTTCGCATTTACACACCTACATTCCTACACACTTACGCACGTATACACACTTACGCACTACACCTGTGCACGTTTGCACCACTTGCGCACTTACACTCTCACAATTGCGTGTATTCGACAATGCCCCCCCCCCCCCCCTAAACGCTAAACCCTAAACCCTAAACCCTAAACCCTAAACCCTAAACCCTAAACCCTAAACCCTAGAACAGAAACCCTGCAAATCTACCAATCCCCACGCCCAACCCCCACAAAGCAACCGACAAGGGGGCTCAAGGCCCCAAAAACCCCAAAACCCCCCCTTTAGGAGGCCCCAAACCCTAAACCCTAAACCCTAAACCCTAAGCCCTAAGCCCTAAACCCTAAACCCTAAACCCTAAACCCTAAACCCTAAACTTCGGAGGGAGGGGGTGGGTTTAGGCCTCCTCGAGGTCGGACACGGCGCTGCGCCAGCCGACGAAAGCCGCATCAGCTCCCCAGCTGTCGCCGTCCTCCCAGGAGAGCGAAGGGTGGTTAGGGTTTAGGGTTCAGGGTTTAGGGTTTCGGGTTTGGGGCCGAGGGCTTAAGGCTTTGTGTAGAGCTTAGCGGTTGTAAAAGGTTATAGGGACGAGCTGCTGTAAAGATTCATGGGGTTTAGGGGCTGTAAAGGGCTCTAGGGCCTAGAAGTGGGACTGTGCTGTGGCACTGTGAGGGTTCAAGCCACAGGTGCGGTGTCTCTGCATCTTCATAGGGAATTAGGGGCTTAGGCTCCTTCTATCCCAACTTAGATAACCCTCATGGGAGAACAAGTTCCCAGTTCCCCAGTGAGAACCATCAAGGTTGTAGAGTCTACTATGGTGAGGTGCCTAGTCCTTCCCCTATGTCCTTTAACCGGCTCAGGGCTTTTTTTATGATCCGAGATTTCGGATTTTATGTGCCCTCAGCCCTCAACCTCCAACCCCAAAACCCGAAGCCCCTAAACCCGAAACCCTAAACCCTACGCCATATAAACCCTAAACCCTATAAACCCTAAACCCGAAACCCTAAACCCTAAACCCTCGAAGCCGTCCTGCATGGAACTGGTTGACATGGACGCCGGCCGGGCCAGGGCCTCTCAGCTTCACCATGCCCTCTGTTTGGGGGCCTAGAAGGTCTAATTAGGGCTTGGGGTTTTTACGGGAAAACCATCAAAAATTTTTTTTCCAATCAAAAAAAAACTTTTCCCGACCAATCTAAAAAAACTTTCCAAAGATCAAGAAAAACTTTTTTCCAATCAAAAAAAACTTTCTTTGGGTATTTTATAAGAGATCTAGAATGAATTTATTCGAGAAGCGGGAATCAAAAAAAACTTTTTCCTAATCAAAAAAATCCTTGGTAGTCTACAAGGGGTTTTGCCTCTCTTGGACGATACCGCATTCGACGCAAAGATATGTATAGTTTAGTGTGCATGTGTGTATATATATATGTGTATATATATGTCTTGGGCGGCAAAACAGACACTCCTTTCTGCACGGCTTAAAAAAAGCGGGGGGGTTGGGGGGGGGGGGCGCAGCACCCCCCAGTTGCAAACACAATGCTCACACGATGTTTTTCAACTAGTTTCTTGGGCTTTGAAGCACGCTTGGTACGGCTTAAAAAAAGCGGGGGGGGGGTTGGGGGGGGGCGCAGCCCCCCCCCCCCCATTTGCAAACACCTGCTCACATGATGGGCGTCAACAAGTTTCTTGGGCTTTGAAGCACGCTCTGCACGGCTTAAAAAAGCGGGGGGGTTGGCAGGGGGGCAGCCCCCCCCCCCCATTTGCAAAACAATGCTCACACGATGTTTTTCAACTAGTTTTCTTGGGCTTTGAAGCACGCTTGGTGCGGCTTAAAAGAAGCGTGGGGGGTTCACGCTCTGCACGGCTCAAAAAAAGAGGCGGGGGGGTTTGGGGGGGCGCAGCCCCCCCCCCCCCACTTGCAAACACAATGTTTTTTTCAACTAGTTGCTTGGGCTTTGAAGCACGCTTGGTTAGGGTTTAGGGTTTAGGGTTTAGGGTTTAGGGTTTAGGGTTTAGGGTTTAGGGTTTAGGGTTTAGGGTTTAGGGTTTAGGGTTTAGGGTTTAGGGTTTAGGGTTTAGGGTTTAGGGTTTAGGGTTTAGGGTTTATTTAGGGTTTAGGGTTTAGGGTTTAGGGTTTAGGGTTTAGGGTTTAGGGTTTGAAGCACGCTTGGTACGGCTTAAAAAAAGCGGGGGGGGGCAGCCCCCCCCCCCCATTTGCAAACACCCTGCTCACATGATGGGCGTCAACAAGTTTCTTGGGCTTTGAAGCACGCTCTGCACGGCTTAAAAAAAGCGGGGGGGGTTGGGGGGGGCGCAGCCCCCCCCATTTGCAAACACAATGCTCACACGATGTTTTTCAACTAGTTTCTTGGGCTTTGAAGCACGCTTGGTACGGCTTAAAAAAAGCGGGGGGGGTTGGGGGGGGCGCAGCCCCAGCCCCATTTGCAAACACCCTGCTCACATGATGGGTGTCAACAAGTTTCTTGGGCTTTGAAGCACGCTCTGCACGGCTTAAAAAAAGCGGGGGGGTTGGGGGGGGGGGCAGCCCCCCCCCCCATTTGCAAACACAATGCTCACACGATGTTTTTCAACTAGTTTCTTGGGCTTTGAAGCACGCTTGGTGCGGCTTAAAAGAAGCGTGGGGGGGTCACGCTCTGCACGGCTCAAAAAAAAGAGGCGGGGGGGTTTGGGGGGGCGCAGCCCCCCCCCCCACTTGCAAACACAATGTTTTTTCAACTAGTTTCTTGGGCTTTGAAGCACGCTTGGTTAGGGTTTAGGGTTTAGGGTTTAGGGTTTAGGGTTTAGGGTTTAGGGTTTAGGGTTTAGGGTTTAGGGTTTAGGGTTTCGGGTTTAGGGTTTATTTAGGGTTTAGGGTTTCGGGTTTAGGGTTTTAGGGTTTTATTTAGGGTTTAGGGTTTAAGGGTTTAGGGTTCAGGGTTCAGGGTTCAGGGTTCAGGGTTTAGGGTTTAGGCTTCCTTCCTTCCTTCTTTCCATCCTTCCCTCCTTCCTTCCTTTCTGCCTTCCTTCCTTTGGTCCTTCTTCCTTCCTTCCTTCCTTTCTTCCTGTCTTTCTTTCCTTCTTTCCTTCTAAAACCTACAAGAAATAACGCTTTCCTATGAAAATACAGAGGGAATAACGGCTTTTCGTACGAAAAACCACGAAAATGCATCAAATCCTTTAAAAAACATAGAGGGAATGGTGGTTTTCTTAGGACAAACCAAGAAAATCGACAAAAAAAACCAAAAAATAGGCCCGGGTTTATTTAGGGTTTAGGGTTTAAGGTTTAGGGTTTAGGGTTTAGGGTTCAGGGTTCAGGGTTCAGGGTTCAGGGTTCAGGGTTTAGGGTTTAGGCTTCCTTCCTTCCTTCTTTCCATCCTTCCCTCCTTCCTTCCTTTCTGCCTTCCTTCCTTTGGTCCTTCTTCCTTCCTTCCTTCCTTTCTTCCTGTCTTTCTTTCCTTCTTTCCTTCTAAAACCTACAAGAAATAGCGCTTTCCTATGAAAATACAGAGGGAATTACGGCTTTTCGTACGAAAAACCACGAAAATGCATCAAATCCTTTAAAAAACATAGAGGGAATGGTGGTTTTCTTAGGACAAACCAAGAAAATCGACAAAAAAAACCAAAAAATAGGCCCTCCCCTCAAAACGCTTGGAAACTTTACGGGAGTTTAGGGGCCTCGAGAAACTTAGAAACTTTAGGTGAGTTTAAGGGCCTCAGATTGCTCAGAGACGTTAAGGGAGTTTAGGGGCCTCAAGAAACCGAGAAACTTTAAGAGGGTTCAGAGGCGTGAAAACACTTCGAGACTTTAAGGGAGTTTAGGGGCCTCAAAACGCTTAGAGACTAGGGGCATCAGGGAACTTAGAAGCTTTACGTGAGTATATGGGCCTCAAAACACTTGTTAGAGACTTCAAGGACGTTTAGGGGCCTCAAAACGCCTAGAGACTTCAATGAAGTTTAGGAGCTTCAAGAAACTTAGCAACTTTAAGTTAGTTAAGGGGCCTCAGATTGCTTCCTTCCTTCCTTCCTTCCTTCCTGCCCTCCCTCCTTCCTTCCTTCCTTCCTTCCTTCTTGCCCTCCCTCCTTCCTTCCTTCCTTCCTTCCTGCCTTCCGTCCCTCCCTTCCTCCTCCCTTCCCTCTTGTCCTCCTATCTGAAAAAGGAAAGTTTGTTTTTTGATTGGAGAAAAGTTTTTTTTGATTGGAAAAAGTTGTTTCTTGATTGGAAAAAGTTTTTTTTGATTGGCATCCCGGGTTTTTAGGGTTCAAGGTTGAGGGCTTATATAGGGTTTGTAGGATTCAGGGGACCCTGAATCCCAAACCCTAAACCCTAAACCCTAAACCCTAAACCCTAAACCCTAAACCCTAAACCCCAAACCCTGAACCCTGAACCCCCAACACCCTAAGCTGGCGCCTGCTGCAGGCTTAGCAGCCCTCTCAGGGCTCGGAGCACGGTGCGGTCGGGCTCGGCCCGGCGATCTAAGAGCTCCCCACCACGTCCGATGTGAAACTCCAGGAACCTTGGCTGCAGTTTTAACAAGGGTAAGAAGGGTTTAGGGTTTAGGGTTTGGGGTTTATGATTTAGGGTTTAGGGAGCTCGGACTTCGATGTACAGCGCTTAAGAAGGCATAAAGCTTCATTCAAGGTAGTTCAGGGATGAGTTCTTGGTAGGGGGGGGGGGGTGGTCGTAGAGGTTGGCAAGGTTATTGCAGCTTGGTCCTTCTAGCATTGATGGTGAGGTGTTTGCACTCAGGTCATAACACTATAAAGCCCGTAAAACCCCACAAGCCCTGAAAACCAGGGCATCCCATAGCATCCCCGGTTCAAACCTACATATAAACCCTGCTCAGAAACCTAAAAAACAAACCTAGAAACTCCAACAGCCCCATTATATAAACCCTCACCAAAAAATATAAATCGCACTATAACTCTCAAGTCCGATGAGCACCCCAGATGGGCACCTTTTTATCCCTCTTGATATGTTATACTTTAGTATCTCAAAAATACCTACCCAGATAGATAGATATATATATATATATGTATATATATATATATATGTATATATAACAAGCAGCCGAAGGCCGGCAGAAGCTCAACAATGCCCAGGAGCATTGCCATGCCCTGCCTTCGTTCAAGGGTATTTTGTTGGGGGGCAGGGGGGGTGGGGGGGGGAGGGATTAGGGTTTAGGGTTTAGAGGGTTTAGGGTTAGGCTATCATCATAGAAATACAAGGCTTTGTAGTGGGGGGGGAAGGGGGGCTGGCCACTCAGCTCCTTAAAGCCACAACCCTCAACCCAAACCGGAAACCCCAACCTCTAACGGTAGTTACACGGTCCCCTCTTATAGGCCCTTAAACGGGTACCCCCTGTTTTCACCCTTTACAAAGGCCCATACATCAGAAGAGGTTTGGCCATATTAAGGGACCATGAAACTACCCTTAGAAAACCCCTACACCCTAAAGCCTAAAAGCCTAAAGCCCTTGTAATACCTGGACCAGCCGCAGACCACAGGGGTCGCAGGGATACGCCTCCTCCACCAGGGGGCCGAACTGATACTCTTCCCAGAGCCTGCCGACTGAGAAGTCTGTTGGGGCTCAGGCACTGACACACTTCGTTTCTTTTTTTTGACAGTATCGAAATCCTGCAGATTTGCGTCCTCCGAATCGGGCTCCGTAACCTCTGTTTTTTCGCTTCCTTGGCTTCTTTCACCCTCACGTTTAGGGTTTAGGGTTTAGGGTTTAGGGCTTAGGGCTTAGGGCTTAGGGTTTAGGGTTTGGGGTCAGGTTTAGCGATCCATGCTCTCCATGAGGATCGGCATACTGCTCGGTTGTGCGAGGAGTGGTGAGCCCAAGGAGATTTGTCAATTCGCCTCTGGTGCCTACACCTTAGATAACGGTCTCCTGGCCGGTTTCTAAGTCCTGGGGCTCTCCAGTTCGTAGGCAGAACCCACAAACTCTACCTTATGACGCGTCTCTTTGCAACAGCCGGAACTGCCGACCTTTAGCAGACTTGGTAAACAAACACAAAACCCTAAACAACCTGATCCCTAAGCGACAAGCCGCGACAAGCCTTCCTCTCACTAGCCCTACAACCCCTGAAGCCGCGAACCAACGCCTCTCCAGTGCACGGCGCTTGAGGTCGGCAGACTCCTGGTGAGCAAACGACTGGGCCTTACACCTGGGGGCCAAATGAATCCAAAAAAAATGGGGTCATATACTTAACTACCCTTTACCACTACAGTTCCTGTTAAGGTATATGAACCACAACCCTGTTTAGGGTTCATGTCGTCCCCAAGGCAGGGGCGTTCTGGGCTTTGGGGAGTTTTGGGGGGCCCGGACTGTGCTTCCCAGCTGAAGCCTACGAGCCCCGAACTCTCTGAAACCCCAAAGAAGTCTTGAAATTTTTGTCCGTAAATCCACAAGCCCTAAGGCCCTGTAGGCCCCAAACCCCTAAACCCTAAACCCCAAACTGGGCCCCAAACCCTAAACCCTAAACCCTACACCCTAAACCTCCGCCCCTCCTGGCAGTGGAGGGGCATGGCGGCCGACTTCACGGCCGCCGTGGCGGCATGTGCCGCGCGCAACTCCTGCAGAAGGTGTTTGTAGGGTTTAGGGTTTAGGGTTTAGGGTTCAGGGTTCAGGGTTTAGGGTTTAGGGTTTAGGGTCTAAGGTCTAGGGTTTAGGATTAAGGTGCCCTCTACTAACACCATCAAGTCGAAGAATGCTTCGAATGAAGTTGGTCTTCGGCAGAATGCGTATGGCAAGGGCGGGAGGGATCGTCCGCACAAGGTATGGATATTTCCCCCCAAACTAGGGGTACCCCGTTTACACCCGAAACAGAATCGAACCCCCCTACCGCCAAAACTACGAATTGCTTAAGAACCCCCCCCTCCCAAAAAAAAAAACATCTTCCTTATAAGGGTAACATAGGGATTAACATTTTTCATTTTTGAGGGGTCTCTTAAGCAAATGTGGTAGAAAAAAGGGTGCCCCCCGATGCTCGGAAACCCCCATGATGATCCTGCACCACATCCACCCTGCCGTGGCCGTCGCCGTCGGCGCCCGCCAGGTGCTCAAGGGCCTGAAGCTGCTGTTGGGAAGGCTGAGGGTTGAGGGTTTAGGGTTTAGGGTTTAGGGATACTCCTACAACCTAAACCCTGAAAACCCTAAACCCCACTCACCCCCGACCCCCCTGAACAGCCCACAAAGCAGAAGAACACAGCTCGCCACCTCGAGGTTCAGCTCCAGCAGTGCGGTCCGGGCCTTTCGGGGGCTTCAAGGGCTCAAAGCTTCAGGGCTTTTCGGGTTTTGGGGTTTACAGGGCATAAAACATATTACTAGTATTATGAAGATTATCATTATGGTGATTATTGTTATTAGTATTCTTCTTCTTATGATTATTCTGATTAGTATTCTCATCACCATTACTATTACACATTGTTGTTATTATCATCTTTGTTTTTTAAATCATTTTCTTCTGGGGGGGGGGGGGGGGGGGGGGTGTGTGGGGGGTAATGGCACTCAGAGGGTTGATGGGCTTGTCGGGTTGGTTGGGATCATTCGGCGCACAGGGTTTAGACTCTTCTTGCAGGCCGAACACCCCAACACCCGAACATCTTAATTAAGCCAAAACCCCAAACCCTGTTCTCCAAAATGTTTTAATGGGCGGGCTTCGGGCACAGGATGGGGATGCTGAATTCTCACTGTCCGTCGCTTTGTCTCTCTCTCTCTCTCTCTCCACACACGCACAAAACCTTATACGACCCAAAGCTACTTGTTTCTCGAATTTCAAGGCATTTCTTGTTCTACCCACAACAAGCGCACAAGCAAGAGATGGATTTGGGGGCTCCCTGTAAACATATAGACTCTACAACTTGACAACCCACAGAAGACCTCGCGGTCGGCGACAGTGGCGCAGGACTCCGGCAAGGAAGCGTGGCCCGCGAAAAGAGCTCGGAGGTTGCGCGAGGCCTGGAGTTTTAGGGTATTCTGGGCCTCTTTCAGACGTGCAAGGTTCAGGGTTACCCTAAACCCTAAACCCTAAACCCTAAACCCTAAAACCCCCTTTACCCCTTTAACCCCCCCCCCATGAGCCCCTTAGACTCCAAAGTGCACCCGGGTACCTTCAACTGCAAGTCGACCCACGCCGCAGTGTTGCCGCTCTCCGGCAATGCCCCAGTCATGGGCGGGTCCCGGCCGCCTCTCGGGAAATAGAGTTAGTTTAGGGTTTAGGGTTTAGGGTTTAGGGCTTAGGGCTTAGGGCTTAGGGTTTAGGGTTTAGGGTTTAGGGTTTAGGGTTTGGGGTTTGGGGTTTGGGGTTTGGGGTTTGGGGTTTGGGGTTTAGGGTTTGGGGTCTAGGGGTTAGGGCTTAGGGTTTAGGATGGTTTGGGGTTTTGGGTTTAGGGTCTCATGGGAAGGAAGATCTAGGGCAATGGCCCATTTGGGGATTTTCGGGGACGTGGGTGCCCTGTGTAACCAAGGTGCCTAATTCATTATGAAGAACTCGAAGAAGAGCGACCCTCATAAGGGACCCTGGATGTCAGGTAAGTGCTGTCTTGCACTACTTCCGTATTTGACTATAGTGTAGGGTATGTGTGAGATACCTTCTATTCTAGGGGTCCCTCATTCTACTCCCTGAGCCAGCCCTCAGCTAGTATGAGCCACTCCTCTTCTTTCAGGATCCTGTACGGAACTAGAATACCTCAGCGAAAGCTTTGAGGAGGGTTGGAGTCTAGGGCGTCTAGGGGGCTCAAAAACAGCACTCTTACTTCTGAAGGGTTTACCGGCTTACCCTGAACCCTAAACCCTAAACCCGAAACCCTAAACCCTAAACCCTCGAGGTTTACACAAAGCCCTTGACCCCAAACCCGAGACCGCGCTGGCACGCCGGGCCACCGCAGTCGTGCAGCACCCCGGCGATGGTCGCCAGCGCATCGCGAGCCAGCTGTCGGGCAGCTTCAGCCAGTCCTATAGGGTTTAGGGTTTAGGGTTTGGGGTTTAGGGTTTAGGGTTTAGGATTTCGGGTTTAGGGTTGATGATTCGAGATCACCCCTTACAAGCTTTAAGGGCACATGGGGGTTCACGATATTAGGGGTACCTTCTTGGGGTCCCTACTTTAGGGGCATCCTACGAGGATCCCCTGTCATGTGGGTGGGTTGGGGGGCGGGGGGGGGGGGGGGGGGGGGCCTGTCTATGAAGATTTCGACTAGAGCATAGACCCATTTTTGATTTCCCAAATGCGTGAGGAGCGAGTGAAACCCCCAAAGGAGACTGACCACATGTGGCGTGCGGAAGATTAGGGGAGGAGCTTCATCGGTTAAGTGGGATCTTGGGGGCACGAAACCGGGGCTTCAGGGCATCAGTACACCCACCTTGGGATACTCCCTCTTATACTAACAGTCCTGAATAGGAATCATAGTACCCCTAGTATAATCCTTCTTCAAGACTGTTAGTATCAGGGCGAACATCCCAACACCCAGCCCTGAGCCCAAAACCAGATTGGCGATCCTAAGCTCAACTTCCCTTTTCACCCTCTAGGACCACAACTGCCCCATCAATAAACCCGAAAACAGGGGCCTACGCAACTCATAGAAAAGGGGGGGGGGTTTCAAGTAACAATCTTGACAATTTCTTTGGCTCCTGCATGAGACTCATCAGAGTCATGGCAAGGTGGCGCGTGGTCGCGTGCCTAGTGTTGCCTTTAGTTATGGTTGAACAGCACGGAACCCTGAAGCACTACAGTAAGACTTCGAGGCTTCAGCCCACCCTAAACCTGTTACCTTCAACCCTCAACCCAAGCAGTAAACGCTCAGCCGAGGGACGAAGGGAGTCGGCTCGAGCAGCAGGGCTCGTGCTCCCATCTAGCTCCACTTGATACCTTGCTTCAGCTTTTGCGGGGGTTCAGGGTTTGGAGCCCTAAACTTCTAGGGAAGGCAGCTGGATGTTGATCCAAACTCGGGTATAGCCGCGGGCCTGAATTATTGCATTTTCGTTGGGACAACTTCCTAATCCTAAGTGGGTGAATCTTCAAAAGAAACTTGAGTCCTCGACCCCCAAGTTCCCGAAAGCGTCATTTCCATATCCAGATTTCTTCGAACTCTGATTCAGATGGCTAGCCTGAAGTACGAAACACGGCTTGCGGTGTAGAGAAGGGCGGAAGAGAGCTGGTCAGTTCTGTAGATTAGGGTCCCCTCTTTGGGTGCCCGAAACAAGAGGGGCCGCCTGAGAAATTGTATCCCAAAAGGGACCACTTTTGGAGCACTATAACTTGTTCATGGTTGGGATAGTATACACATTCAAGTGCTATTCCTTTTTGAGTTTAAGTACCCTCAAAAATGTAACATGTTACCTCGCTATGACAAAGATAAGGAAGGGCCCTGAGTGGCCGGCCGGAGGGAAGCTGTTGCCGGCCAAAGCCGCGTTAGCTCCTCCCCAGGAAGCTTTTAGAGGTTTTTTGAAGCGTTCAAGGGATTGTAATTCAAGGCTTGTAGGGCTTGTAGTTTGAAACCCTGACCGTGTAAATGAGCTCCAAACCCCCTTCAACGCCAAATCCTCCTCTGTCGCGATGAGCCCTAACATACCCCTGAACCATCCTATACACCCCAGGAATCCTCAAGCCTTGAAGCCCACAGCCGGGGACTGCCTAACACCCCTAAACCCTAAACCCTAAACCCTAAACCCTAAAACCTAAAACCTAAACCCTAAACCCTAAACCCTAAACCCTAAACCCTAACCCTAAACCTCCGGTCCTCCTTGAGGAAGTGGCTCCAGTTCTGCGCAAAAGCATCCCGGAAGGCGTGTTGCGTGTGCCCGACGAAGTATGCCTTCGCCCCCCGGGTATTTCCGGGACTAAACCCTAAACCCTAAACCCTAAACCCTAAACCCTAAACCCTAAACCCTAAACCCTAAACCCTAAACCCTAAACCCTAAACCCTAAACCCGATCCATAAACCAGGGCTTGGTTTGGCTCAGGGTCCCAAACGTTTTGCTCTTGTTCGGTCCGGGCATAGGGGTTTAGGCAGGAACGAATGCCCAAAAAACTCGGTGAAATGATAACAAGGACGCCATGGTTTGCTGGTTACCTTCATACAGGAAGCCAGAACCCCCCCCAAAGGCAAAAAAGGGCATAACACCCGAACTCTGTAAAGTAGGCTTTGTCGCAAGTTGGGCTTCGAGGTCCCTAAATCCTTCCTGTAAACCAAGGCAGGTTTGGTATAAGGATTGTTTTGGGGAATAAGGGTAATCAAAATGTGATAGCATGATGTTCCAACCTACTCCTGAAAACCCTAAGCCAGGAACTATTGGCCTCCTCCGGGTCGTCGAATCGCACGCCTTCCTCCAAGGCGAACTCCTGGACGTCTCCAAGTCTAGGGTTTAGGGTCTAGGGCTTAGGGTGATAAGGGCGGCATCTGTCAGTCTAACAAAAGATGGCGCCAGCGTGGCCAACAGATCTAATTAGGCGACACGCACCGTGTTCAGGACTTCGGAAATTTGGCGCTTATGTTCTTTTAATTTAAGGGGTTTAGCTTTAGGCTTTTGCGTTGGTCTTATAAAAGTCTAGGTTTATCTTTAGTCTTCGGGGTCTAGGGCTCTGGGTGTAGGGGTCTATGGTTCAGGGATTAGGGCTTTTAGGGCTTAGGGTCTTAGGTTTAAGGCTTAGGGGCGTTTACGGTCCAGGGCACGCAAGAAACCCAATCTTAGACTTTTGGCCCCTTTTTCCTGGGCTTCTTAGTACGCTGGCTAAGAGGGAATCTGTTTGCAAGGTGCCAAATGACAGCCAAGAGAAGCAAGAAAGAGCTGGGTTGGGGATGATGAAAACTCCCTCAATCCTAAACATTTAACCTTTTGTTGGGGGGATACCCGTTCTAATATCAGACGGTGCCCTTCTGAAACAGGCCATCCTCGATACCCCACCCAGCCCATCAGTCCTGCCAGCCGTGAATCTGCTTCCTGTCAGGCAGGTGCTTTGGGAAACCTTAAAACCCCAAAATCGCAAACCCTCATTTCAAAGGGTTTCGGAGAGGGGTTTTAAAACTTCCATTAAACCAACAAACAAGTGCATGCACTAATCAGGTCTTATTTTCTTGTAAAGCCGCAAAACCGAATCAGGCTCGACTAAGCCCTTGAGACGGCACCAACAAGATGTTGCTATTGGAGACGACATGACACATCACTTGCAGCAAGCCCTAGATCCCAAGGGGGAGGTTGTTCCGTGTGACCTTTTAATACTTCGACACAAGCAGCTCCAAGCTCGGAATCTGCGTCTGGGGAGCTCGCTCCGGCATACCAAGTAGAGGTTCTAAGCCCCTAGAAGCCCTGAGGCCCCATGAAGCCCAACAAACCCTGAAGTTTAGATGATGCTGATGCCCTAAACCCGCCATCTTCTCCAAGGCCCCATGTATATAAGCAGACAAACGCAAGCCCACCAGCACCCAAACAACAAAGCCCTCAACACGCCTTTAGCTTTGGAGCTTGGGGCTTGAACTACTAAAGCCTGCACCCTCGAAGCTCCAAAGCCCAGAAGCGGATCCGGGGCCCTGGCAAGATGTCGTCGCTCGCGCGGCTGCCACCAGGCCTAAGAGGCGGCGGAAGGTGCAGGGTTTTGCTTTCCAGACCTTTCCGGGACTCCCCCAATGGCCTGCAACCAGCCAGAAAGGTGAATTGGGGAGAAGGGGGGGGGGGGGGGGGGGGGGGGGGGGGGCTTCAAAATTTCTCAACTACAATGCTTGATACATGAGGTTATACAGGGGTGAGGGACCGTAGAGCTTTGAAGTATTCCATGTCAACCCCAGAAGCCAAAACTGTCCGGTTGTTGCGCAGCAGTTAGGTATGTCATATCAGTCCTATCCCTATGAAGCTAGGCCGAGGGACAGCTCTCGACCGGGACCCTTGGTCTCGTTGTCGTCCTCTATGATAGGGGCTTGGGCTTGCCTTGCAAGTCGGCAGCAGCTTGCGTAGGAGGTTACTTAGTTGGGTTTGTCTGGCTTTGGGTTCGGGGGTGCTGCAGGGTCCTCGGAATTTTCTCTTGGGCGCTAGAGGGGGGGGGGGTTTCTTGCAGGCAACTGGGTGCAGTGCTTGGGATGAATCCTACAACCCACAACCCTAGCCAAGCCCTAAACCCACAACAAGCTCAGGCCGCACCGACCTGAAACCCAAAACCCCACAACCCCAAGCCTTTCAACCCCTCATCTCATTGTACGCTCTAGAGTTTGCCATTTAAATCCAACATCAGCCAGCAAGGCTCAGTCTGCAAGCCTGTGCCTTTCGCTGCCTTAAAGTGGCCAGAACATAAAGGTGTATTACCTTCTCGGGCACAATAGACCCCTCAAACAATAAGCCCCTTCTAACCCGAAACTCTCAGGGTCGAAAGCTAGGCGTTTGTGTGGTCAGAGTTGTCGCTGGGTGCCCTAAATACCCTAAGCCCTAACCCCGAAATTATAGGGGGGTCTTGTGGCAACTCTAGGGTCTGAGAGGTGCTTCCCAGATTCTTGGTGTCTTGGATTCTACCCTTCAGGTTTCAGGTTTTGGGCTTTATAGGGTTTCGAGCTGAGGCTTTCGGGTTCAGGGCTTCGGGTTTAGGCTTTAGGGCGCTTAAGTAGGGTCTTAGGGGTTGTAGGGGTTTTAGGGGTTTTAGAGGTCTTAGGGGTTTTAGGGGTTTTAGGGGGTCTTAGGGATTTTCTCGTGTGTCCTCGTCCTCCTCGTCGTCCTCGTCCCCCCAGCCCTCTCCACCCAGGCCTTCGCCCTTGACCATGGCTTCCTGAGCGGGCAGGTTGAAGGCTGGCCCTAAACCCCTAAACCCCCTAAACCCCTAAACCCCCTAAACCCCTAAGCCCCTAAGCCCCTATAAAGCCCTATAAACCCCTAAACCCCTAAGCCCCTATAAACCCCTAAACCCCTATAAACCCCTATAAACCCCTATAAACCCCTAAACCCCTATACCCCTAAACCCTAAACCCTAAACCCTAAACCCTAAACCCTAAACCCTAAACCCTAAACCCTAAACCGACCCCCCGCTCCCCCCCGCTCCCCCCCCAAAAAAAAATGGGCTGTGCAGTTTCGACTGAGTTGAGTTTTGCTGTCTTGTAGGTCCTACTATAGGGTTGGGAGACCCCCAGGCTGAGGCCGGAGGGTTTAGAGTTTTGGGTTTCTGGTGTTTTGGGGGCTGTGGGGCTTTAACGTCTTCAATTCTATGGTTTTGGGTGTCTAGTGTTTTGGGGGCTTTGGGGCTATTGGAGGTTCAGGGTTTTAGTATAGGCCTGTGGGGTTTTAGCGTTTTAATTTAGGGCGGGAGGGTTCTGGGGCTTTAGAGGTTTTAGGGGCTTAGGGTTTCGGGTGACATCGTTGGTTCCAGCGACTTGGGCAAGCATGTCATGCCAGCTGGCTTGGGCTTTGGGAAGCCTTGGCAGCTGAACTAGGGATAAACCCCCCTTGTGCGTAAACGGCAACACAGCCGACGCGAACTGGGCCACGCTCTTCCCTAAACCCTAAACCCTAAACCCTAAACCCTAAAAACCCTAAACCCTAAACCCTGAACCCTGAACCCCCGGGTTGAGGCAGTGTGGGTTTTGAGGGTTTTGATTTGCGGGTCCTTGGCCAGGTTGAGGATTCGCATCTGGAACTCGAACTTCGCCTGAAGCACTCAGAAGGCTCAAACGGGTCTTGGCTTTGGGGTGTGGGGTTTAGCTATAGGGTTTAGGGTTTAGGGTTTAGGGTTTAGGGTTTGGGGTTTAGGGTTTGGGGTTTAGGGTTTAGGGTTTAGGGTTTCATTGGGGTGCGGGGCCCGCAGGGCTAAGTTTGTGCTCGAGAGCTTCCATGTGGCTGTCTCCATGAATCTAAAACCCTAAACCCCAATGAAGCCCTAAACCCTAATTCAACCCCAAACCCCAAACCCCAAACCCCAAACCCTAAACCCTAAACCCTAAACTGCTGTAGGAGTACTTGCACCTTCCATGCACAAGTGTCCTAAAACCTCGTCAGGTCTGAGCTGTAGGAGTCATGAACACCAGTAGAGTGCCAGGGCCAACGCAAAACCACGCAAGACCTCTGTAGCCCCGAAGCACCTCCCTAAACCCCTGAATCAACCCCCAAAAGAAACCCTGAACCTCCACCCAAACCCCCTTCACCCAACCCCCCGGCCAGGGTAGGGCTAGGGTAGGGTTAGGGTGTTAGGGTAGGGTTCGTGTAGGGTTAGGGTAGGGTTAGGGCGGTTAGGTAGGGTTACGTAGCTAGGGTCCACTGTGAGGTGCGCCGCGCCTGGTCTTCGAAGATGTTCTTTCGAAATCGCCGGGCGATGTTGCCTCATAGACTTCTAGAGGCTTCAAGCGGCAATGCACGGGCACAGGATGATACGGGCCAGGGAGCGGGTTTCATAGGGCACATGGGGCTTACAGGGTTTACAGGGCTTCTAGTAAAGTAAGACTGGCACATAGGCAGGGTTGTGTCGGGTTTGCTGTAGGTTTGGGAGGGCTGAGGTGCCATTGGGATTCGGAAGGATAGCCCTCAGCCCTGATCCCCGAAAGGTTACTTTGAGGACTTTAGGGTTGTAGGGCTCTTTAGGGGGTTATCGGCTGCAGTGCTTTCGGGCACCCTAAACCCTATTAAAAACCCTAAACACTAAACCCTAAACCCTGAACCCGAAACCCTAAACCCTAACCCCTAACCCCCTAACCCCCTAACCCCCTAACCCCCTAACCCCTAACCCCTAACCCCTAAACCCTAAACCCCATGCCAATCAAGCCATGGAGCGGTAGGCACGCCGGATGGCCTTTTCCTGGGCTGCGGAAGCAACCATAACAAGAACCGGAGAAACATTTAAAAAGCCAGTGTCCAGGGTTTAGGGTTTAGGGTTTAGGGTTTAGGGCCAGTTTCGGGTATAGGGTTTGTAGTGTTCATGGGTATCCTGAATTTCAGCCCTCCACTTTGATTAGTATTCGGGGGTTGTGTTGGGGGGCCTGCAACTGCACGTCGATGAAGGAAATCGAGAAGACCAGAAGAACCCTTATTTGTCTAGTTCATCTTTGTCCGATCCCTACTGTTAAGATGTACGTAAAATTACAAGAAACTCACGTCCCAAACACAAGGAACAACATACAGTTCAAGGACCCAGGGATTCGGGAGTGCCCTAAACCCTAAACCCTAAACCCCAAGAGCCCCCCAAAAGCCGAGCTTCTTGTGCCTGCGGGCCTGCTTCCATGTGGCCCGGCTGGGCGGCCTCAAGTGGCTCAACAGCGCGCGGTATTTGTTGTTTAAGGGTTTCGGGTCTGGGGTTTAGTAGGGTTTAGCGTTTAGGGTTTAGTGTTAGGGTTTATATAGGGTTTAGGGTTTAAGGTTTAGGGTTAGAGTTTGGGGCCTGCATTCAGATGAGCTGCTTGTGGAGCACAGCTGGTCCCTTTATGCTTGACTTTGTTAGTTAGGGCTCAGGGTTCCCTAGACCCTAAACCCTAAACCCTAAACCCTAAACCCTATAGGGCGCAACTGCGCCAGAATCGTCGCTTCACGCTACAACCGCGGCGACTTGGGACTCGAAATAAGACGATCAGAAACCCTAGAGTTGCAGGTTTAGGGTTTAGGGGGTTTAGGGCTTAGCCGCTCGTGGGGTGTTTGGTTTGAATTGGAACCTCAACTGTTTTTGATGCACTTGACACCCTCGAAATACTATTCACAAGGGCAGCCTCAGAACAATAACATAATGGGTGCCCGCTCTTGTTTTTTTTCTGGTGTGGGCTCACAGGCTCGCGATCTGAATATCGCTCTTCGAACCCTAAACGTAGTATTTGTAAACCCTGGCAGAAAAAATAAGCCGAAATACGTAACCCGAAGCCCTAAGACCCATAAACCCATAAACCCTAAACCCCAAAGCCTGAATCCTGAACCCTGCGCCCTGAACCCTAAACCCTAAACCCTGAACCCTGAACCCTAAACCCTGAACCCTGAAACCTAAACCCTAAGCCTACCTCAACCCGAAGCCCCTCATCCTGCACCCTATGCCTTCTGCCCTATAACTAAGCCCTACATCCTGAACCCGAAATCCCACACCCTAAAACCCTGTACCCCAAGCCCTACGTCCTGAACCCTCCAGCCCCAAATCACACACGCTGAAACCCTAAGCCCTGAAACCCTACCGACTTGAGTGCGAACGACTCCGTCCATCTCCCGCCGAAGGGAGCCTCAGCTATCGTCTCAAATTTCAAAGCCCAAACCCTTAACCCACAAAAGGTTCGGGGATACTCCCTAAGCCCTAAACCCTAGGCCCTCAGCTCACCCATTCCAAGACCACGTAAGCCCCAAGCAGGCCAGCTCTCTCAATTGTTACGGTTGAGTGTTTGTCACCACAAAAAGGTGCCTAATTGCAAAGGGGCCATCTCATGCACGACACGCAACTAAAAGAATGGTACCAGAATAAACATCTTTTACAGGATCCTGCAGAATTCCTCTCATGCTCTTGAGAACGAAAATCTTCCCTTCAAGAAGAAGGTATCTTAGCAACATCTTAGCCAGTCATCTCGAGCCTCCACCCTAAACCCTAAACCCTAAGTTGTTCCCAGCCACAGCCCTTATCACAGAGACTTGATCTAACGGGTGCCCAGGTCCACTTGCAGTTACTACCTGCTGTGGAGTTCTAGGATGCCCCTAAACCAGCGTTTCTCGTTCTCTCTCTCTCTATATACATATATATATATATATATACACTTTTGTTTATCTGTTTTCCTATTTGGGGGGGTTCTAACTCCGTGATCATACTCCCTAAGCCCAAAAACCCCTAAGCTCTCTCAGGTTGATAT